CTCCCCCCCCCCACACACACACACACTCGCACACGCACACATATTATATATGTATGTATATGTACCCAGTCATCGGTGTATTTTAGATTATCTTACATTCGCATCTCACGTCTCTGGAAATTGCCGGAGGGCAGAACGCGCTCTGCTGCCTTGCTGTCTTCACGAGGGTCACATACAACTAATAATGTCTTTATGTTCCTGTCTTCCACATGTCGATGCATGTGATGTTATATCACCAGAAGAAGTCGTACGTTTCGTGGTCGCGCGTAGTAGACCCGAGTGGGGAGCATTTTTATCCAGTCGCTGGGATATTGTTTCCCCTCAAAGCCCGGCTTGTGAGATGGTGTTTAATATGTAAATGATTACTGAGAAAACATGAGCTCATACACTGTCAGCTGGGTGTCTTTGATGTTAACGTTGGTCCTATTTTCCTCTGCTCCAATGAATCACGAGGGTTCTGGGTGCCCGCTTTCCCGTTCCCTAAGGGAACCATCTTTAGTGTCACTGAAGTTCCGAAATGGTTGGCACAGTCTCGGCTGAGGTGACCTTTTTAGTGTTAACCTATTCTATCAGGCCAAGACATAATATGTATGAAGGGTGGACCTAAGTAGGTAGACAGTATAGTGGAATGTTGGGGCTTTCGTTATCTGGTTGTAGGCTCCTTCTTTCCTATCGAAACATTTATCGTCCGTATCTCTCTTCCTTCTTCTTTTTTTTTTTCTTTTCTCTTTCTTGTAACACCTCTAATCTTCAACACTTATGTGCCCGTTTTGTGTTGCAAGTACCGTTGCACGCTTATTAAAAAAGAACAACCTGGCTGTTGTATACATATTATGATCAACGTTGTGTTAATAGGGTCGTCGCAACGAATGCTTGGAGGGCGCTACTGGTTCTTTAATTTCACCTCTTTTTTTTTCTGTATGTTAATTTTTTTCCAACACAAAATGAGTGTTATATTGTCGATGTCTTTTTCTGTGCTCCAACAAACAGAAGATAGGTGCTGAATTTGCGCTATAGGCCTGCAATGCTATCTATTAATATAAATCTTTTCATTGATGGGGAATTTGCGCTATAGACCTGCAATGCTATCTATTAATATAAATCTTTTCCTTGATGGGGAATTTGCGCTATAGACCTGCAATGCTATCTATTAATATAAATCTTTTCCTTGATGGGGAATTTGCGCTTTAGACCTGCAATGCTATCTATTAATATAAATCTTTTCCAATCGTCACTAATTT